CGTTGGCCACCCCCTCAGCCGGTGCTTGTGGGGGGTGAGGGGTGAGGGGGGGGCCGGGCTGCTGCAATAAAAGGTGTTGGAGAGATGGGGCTGGGTGGTGGAGAACCCCGGCGAGGGGGGGGTGTGCCACGGTGAGCTGGATGGTGCCCTGGTGTGCCATGTGTGCTGCAGTGTGCTGTGACATGCCATATACGCCATGGTGTGTCATACGTGCCGTGCTGCGGCGCGCCATGATGTGCCACCTGTGCCATGCCACGGTGTGCCATGCTGTGTCATGCCAAACATACAGTGGCACGCCCACAGCACCGTGCCATATGTGTTGTGCCACGCCATATGTGTGGCACAGGGCTGTCGTGTACTGTCTCGTGCCATGCCATATGTGCTGTGCCATGCTCTGTGTGTGCTGCACCGTGCCATGGTACCTCGTGGTGTGCCACGCTCTGTGCCCTGCACCATCCATGCTGTGCTGTGCCATGCTGTATGTACTTCCCCACGCCATACTTTGCTGTGCTGTGCCACGCCAGACATGGTGCCCTGTGCTGCACCGTGCCATGGTGTACCACGTGCCACGCTGGCACAGCACTGGGGACACAAGAGCAGCAGGATGGGGTCTGTATACGGGGTGCTGCTGTATAGGAGAAGTTCTCCTATAGGTGCTGGGTCTGTGCCATGGGGAGGGGCTGGGGGAGGTGTGTGTATAGGGGGGACACCCTGTGGAGAGCGTGTCAGGCTGTAGAGGGGCTGTGCTGTGTAGGGGGGTGATGTATAGCAGGTGGGGTGTATAGGGGGTGGTCTGTATAGGGGTGGTCTGTACAGGGGGTGTGATGCACGGAGGCAGGCTCTGTAGGGGTTGGGCCTGGGTCTGTGCCATGGGGAGGGGCTGGGGGAGGTGTGTGTATAGGGGGGACACCCTGTGGAGAGCGTGTCAGGCTGTAGAGGGGCTGTGCTGTGTAGGGGGGTGATGTATAGCAGGTGGGGTGTATAGGGGGTGGTCTGTATAGGGGTGGTCTGTACAGGGGGTGTGATGCACGGAGGCAGGCTCTGTAGGGGTTGGGCTCTCTGGGGTAGGGCCCTATAGGGGGTGGGTCAGGCAGGGCTGCGATGTACAGGAGGTGTGTGTAGGGGACGTGGGGCACAGGGGCGATGCTGTCTGGGGAGGGCACAGGGGCTGTACTATTTTGGGGTGTAGGGGCCATCCTTT